CATTTGGTCAAAAAAGGACGCATGCCATATCATTTGATTTAATGTAAACGACAGCACCCACGAAGTGATGAAATTGTGCACTGTTTTTACAATCACTCGCATGCAATGATGCCAGAGGAGCTAATAGAGGTAAGTTAATTAAACATAATTGTTTTCTTCATCAAGATTGGTGACTTGCTGCAATGGAGCTAAGTGCGATTATTGAATTTAACTACCGTGTCACGTGCTCATATATCACGTGCTACTTTTAATTAATCTTAGCGTTGATTTTAATGTTTTTGATTCAATTTATTACCATTATGGAAATACTCAAGTCGTGAAAATATCTTGGTAATGAGAATATGTATGTGGTGTGATTGTTTTCCAAATCAAATCGGCTCCTTGAATGTGATTATATTCACTGTGTATTTAGTGGTGAAACAATGAAATAATGCTGTTTTATTATTATTCTATTTAGCATGAGAAGTATTGTAAAGACACGGTCCCAGATGTGGATGAAAAAAGTACAAAACAGCATCTATATAATAGATATAAGAGGTAAGCTTTTACGAAAATAAAAAAAATAGATTTATGATGCGAAAAGTGAGAATAATTACTAGTTGATTAATACAGTGAATTAGAGGGAACAATAGAGCTCTAAGCTTAACACTCTCAATAATGTGTATGCGTTATTTATAGTTTATTATATAAATGTATCCTTTAAAAATGCATTCAACTTTAAAATATGCTTAACCATGAATATTACACGATACGTTTTGCTTGATTACATATATCACTGTTATTACAGGCTCAATTTGATAAAAGAAACAGGGAGCGGTACTCCTCCTGATAGATTAATAGGATGCACTAGAATGGAGAGACCGTCCGCTGCGTGCCAGACAGAGTTAGTAAGTACCACTTTAATTTTCATAAGTGATGCTTAATTAATAATCATACTAGAGTAATACGACTGCCTTGAATGTTTTAGGGTTCATTCTTAGATTGATAACGTTTTAAGATCTGAATCAACCACGCATCCATGCTCACTGAGCTTTGATGATAATTCATTTTTATATCAACTGATCGAGACTAAGGTAATACACAGCTGATTTTTATGTGTCTACATAATAGTGATGGATTTTGTTTTTCTCGTGTTTTTCAGTGTGGGGATACAAGTATGAGTAAAACCAAAATGGACTATAATCAAAATGGACAATAACATGCAATTGATATGTTAAAATAAGCAATAATATATTTTCAAATCTAAATATTCTCTCATGTTATACAAGAGTACTGAGTGGTAGTTTACGTTCACATTATAATGGTATGTACTGTATAACATGTAGTTAGTATATATGTTTCGTAATATATTCCTTCTAAACGTTCATAGTTTGATAATGTACTGAATATAATAATAATTTTTCGCATACTGTTTCTTAGATAGTTAATATTTCATGTTATACAGTACTTACCATATTTGTTTAATAACGTCTTGCAAAATGTCTGCTCTGTCTTGATCATTAGTACACGAGGCGTACATGACTCCGTCTTTTTGAAGTTGGATTTTCTCAATGTCGAACTGTCTCTCTTCAATAATGGGTTCTGCGACTTGAATAAATTTAGCTACTCGAAAGGCGATTCTTTTGCACTCTGCAAAACAGACAGCCTCGATAGCGTTCATAATACAATAGTCCATAGTGAGTAAACAATCATGTCCCATTTGATTTTCACACTATATCTCTTCGTCACATGCAGGGCAATCTTGTTTCGATCTGACGCATTCAGCTCGTACGTATTCCCTATTGAACACATATACCATTGATTGTTTCAAGATATCCAAAGATGTCGGCTTAATCACTTTCTTTTGTTCAATTAAGCAGTTCCCGATATTCTTTTCGTTTTCTTTAAGCAATCCGTCTACTTCTGACATCACAGTACACCATGACGTGCTCCACTGACCAAATGTTTTACCGCCTTCTGGCTTACGGTGGAAGTGTCGAAATAACATTATGAGATTTTTCTGATCTTTTTCTGATGCCTTTCTCTCTTCAAAGTAAGATAATCGTCCACCTCTTGCCCGAGCCATTTGGTATACTCGTCATATGGAAGCGTTATCACTTTGAATGTTTCAATGACATTGGCTTGATTGACTTTAGCTAATTGCACGAGTGTGGTATCTTCATTTTTAACTAGAGATATTACACAGGTTCGTGATGCGATGACTTGTTTGGTGAAATCTTCAGACTTCATCAAATCGCTGACAGTTCCCTGTGTATTTTTCAGCGCTCTCCACAGTTGATCGGATACGAACATACGGTGAGAGTATGTCTTGTTTTTCTTTTGCGAAAATTAAGACTGAAGTAACTCTCCGTAAGTACCCTATGAATTACGGCAAATGTTGAAAGCGACATCTTTCGTCAAGTCGTAAGATCTGAGCATGGTTGTCATCTTGATGAATTTCAAAATTCAACTTTTCGACCGTCTAAATGATGATAAAATGACGTCATAAATGGTGGAAAATGACATCTTCAGATGTTGAAATTCCTCATCCACAGGACTTCGGATTCATCCCAAAATGTAGGTAAACTCTTTGATTCGACCCTGCCTATTGGCTGCTGATTCCCGTATTGCTACAAATTGTCCCAGATTGCGTCAGATTGTCCCAGATTGACCCAGATTGTCCCAGAATTTACATTTTATATGAATTTATATGAATTTACATTTTATGTACAATATACTAGGTGGTCATTCCAACGATATATACTACTTTCGAGCTCATGGTTGTTTGCAGGGCTTCTGCGACTAGTGTGACGCTTTAAAAGGGGACGGATGTAATATTTATAACAAAACCAGAATTTTTCACTTTTGTATACGACCACTGGCATAAAATAATTGACAGGAAGAAGGTGGATGTCTAGAGCTTAAAACATCTGATCTCAAAGATTCCACAGATTCACCAGTAATGAACACAAAAAGTAGAACAAAGGAACACAAACGTGACTAAATATTGTTACATTATTTAGAAGTGCAGGGATATAAAACATAAAACACAGTGTCACATTAGAACAACCATAGATTTTGGCGTGCTATCATCTAATGTTCATGATTGTTCACCCTTATATTGTGTGAAGAAACAAATTGTCCAAGTGGATGTTCTTGCGAGAAGTTGGGGAACTTTCAATTCCTAGTGGATTGCAATCTAATTTATCTTTGCGATTTAGTTTCACTACCAACAGGTGAGAGTAAATTTGGAAATTCTTTAGACACAACATCAACAGTAAACACTATAACTACTACAGATAGCAACACGCTCACATCTGCCAGCTCTTTAGAAACCACTCATAGTTCTGAGTATGTTACTAACGAAACATCAACATTGGGAAATATCACCATCATGGTAAGCGCTCATAGCTCGGAGAATGTAACTGAGGAATCATCAACATATGCCAATATCACCATCATTTTGTCAAATGACTGGGTTCGACTTATCGAGGATGTTTTTGAAATGATTAAAGAAGAGACAAATTGAATTGAAGGAATGGAGTTTGTCAGCATTTGGTAAAGAAACGACAGGGATAACTTTGATGAAAGTTATAGATGGACTATTTTCCATTAGTTTCATGAGAGGAAAAATAAGGATTGAGAAGTTCGCTTGGTAAGTTTATATAGAAATAGGATTAACTACTCCAAAAAACTGCCAGGAATTATTTCCACGTGTTTGATGCATTCCAAGAAAAGTCAACCATGTGATAATTCATCAAGTTGTATAGAATAAAGTATGACGAGGAATGCGTTCTTTTTTCCAAATGGAATACAGATATGGATCAAGTGAGATCTGAATGTAGAAAAGTTAATTTCAAAAATGTCACCATCGAGATGTTTTCCATGGAAACACCAACTTGGAGGGGCAATGCTAATCATTTATTCGCTTACATTGTAACCGATGAAATAGAACGATTAGCTCTTTAAATGTAAGATAAGTATTATTTTCAACAGTGATAATGCGTAGATCTAAAAGTAATAATAATAATTTCAAGCACTAGTCTTATTCTGATCAACAGTGGAATGGTTCTAAAGTAATAATAATTTCGAGCACTAGTCTTATCATGAAATTATAAGTGAAGTATTTTCAATTGTTCTTATAACTTTAAATTCAATGTTTACATATCACTAGGTAGATGAATGAAGGATGTATTCCTAGAGTGTGTTAATCATTTTTTTCTTAGATATGACGTCCCGAATGGTGGAACTTTCAATCTTCAAAAAGGCCTCACAGAATTAACAAACGATGCTCTGAAGAACATAAAATTCGAAGCCTTCGCTCAAGGCGCCACGGCAGTTTGTGATTTTTTGAGATTAATTGGAGGGAGATCCCAAGTAGCGAAATGGATGAACACTTTGCTTTATTGAACTATGAAGAAACGATTTGGCAATGATATGCTATACCCCTAATGAAGAACGTTAAAATATTTCAATCATTGGTGGGACAGTTTTGCTAAGTGGACAATTGTATTTCCTTATCTTTATATATTATATACTATATCGCAATCGGTGATGGTTATATAAGTGGACATTTGCCTTATGTTATCTTTATATATATATATATATAATGCATACATTATATACAACACAGTAGTTCATCTATTCGATTTGCAATGTCTGAATGTAATTTATGCACCAGTGCATTTTATTCGAATAAAAAACTTAAAGTACATTTATTCAAAAAACACGGTGTTAAGGGATTATATGATTGTTCAAACTGCGCTAAAAAATTCAATCAACAGTATCAATTAACGAAACACATCCAATACGTGCATAGAGATAATGGGTTCTTGTTTTGCTTCACTTGCTGAAAGACCTTTAAACATAACCAGTATTTGGTTGGTATTTTTTTTTTCTTTTCATTTTTCATTTTTCCATCGTACATCGATTCTGAAAATCTTTTTTTTTCCAGTGAAAACAACAATAGGAGAAGCAGATTTGGTTGAAACTATACAGAACAATGAGGAAGGTTATTATGTCAATTAATTTATATCAGAGCTTTCATTCAGTTTTCAATTTTTAGTTTCACATTTGTTTCACCATGTGATATATGTAAAAAAAATGAATATCTATTTTTTCTAGTGAAAACAACAACAGGAGAAGCAGATTTGGTTGAAACTATACAAAATGATGAGGAAGGTTATTATGCCAATTAATTTATATCAGAGCTTTCATTCAGTCTTCAATTTTTAATTGCACGTTTGTTTCACCATGCGAAAAATGTAAAAAATAATTATTATTCGATTCAATTTTTATCATTTAAGAAAATGCATTTTCAGACGCTAGTTTGAATAGTCGATTGGAATCCATACTTTGTGAGGTTGGGTTGGAAAGTGAGGAATGGTGTCAACGTGAGAACTTTGCCGCCCAAGGGGGGTCTCATGAAAGTACTATTGACAGTTCAGAACTCTTACAACTTTGTGACTAAGAAATGTGATAAGAAATTATAAAATGAAACTTACAGGTAAGTGCTTGACACTAATAATCATGCATAATAAACATGCATTTCATGACTGAACATAGGGTCCATTCTTACATCATGTTGTTGCAGAAATGTGCCTGGAAACTGCATTCTCAATTGTCTGAACAAAACGCGTGATTCATCTCATATCTAAGTATGCAGACTTACAGACCGAATCAATTTTAAATTTTATGTAAGTTTGAATTTATGTAAGTTGAATAATATGGTATAAAAGTAAGAAACATTCGGATACCCTGTCATTCAGCATGGAGCAGTGTCTCCTCGTTAAGGCACACTTTGTCAAGAAAAGGCGAATGCGTTACCACTTGATGAAGTGTAAAAAACAACATCCACGCCGTTGGGAGATCGTACATTGCTTATACAATCATAGCCATGATATGATGCCCGAAGAGCTTATAGAGGTAAGTAAATTTAACATAATTGTTTTCTTCATCAAGATTGGTGACTTACCTCCATTGCAGCTAAGTGTGATTATTGAATTTAACTACCATGACATGAGTTCATATATTACATACTACTTTTGATTGATCTTAGCATTGGTTTAATTGTTTTTCATTCAATATCATTCGCATCATGGAAATACTCAAGTCATGATAATATTTTTGTTTGAATTAATGCTGTTTTATTATTATTCTACTTAGCACGAGAAGTATTGTAAGGACGCGGTGCCAGATGTAGATGAGGCCAGTACCAAAACCCATCTGTACAATAGATACAAGAGGTAAGCTTTTAAGAAAAGAAAATAAACTAATGATCTAGAAACTGAGCATAATCCTAGTTGATTAATAAAGTCCATTAGAGGATTCAAAAGAGCTCTAAGCTTAACACTTCATGATATGTATGCATTATTTATAGTTTATTATACAAATGTTTTCTTTAAAAATGCATTTAACTTTAAAATACGCTTAACCATGTATATAACATGATATGTTTTGCTTGATTACATAAATCACTGTTATTACATGCTCAATTTAGTGAAAGAAATTGGAACAGGAACTACTCAGGACAGCGTTTTGTTAGGATGCAGTGGGCTGGAGAGGGGGACAGCTGCTTGTCAAACGGAGATAGTGAGTAAGTAGCACTTTAATTTTCATATTAAGAATGATTATCATCCACATCGTACTATAGTAATACGATTGCCTTGAATGTTCTAGAGTTCATTCTTAGAATGATAACGTTTTAAGATCTGAATCAACCATGCATACATGCTCACTGAACTTTGATGATAATTTATTTTTCTATCAACCAATCGAGACTAAGGTAATACACAGCTAATTTTATGTGTCCACATAATAGTGATGGATTTTGTTTTTCTCGTGGGGAAGATGGAATTGATGAGGTGTTTGAGCAGATAAGGCGAGAGTTACACATTTAGGGTAAGCAAGGAGTGTTCATTATTGAAAATATTATATAATTTAATCTGAGTATATTGTGTGGACGCGTGATGTGTTGGGTAACGTCTGTGTGAGTTTTTCACATCTGTGTGCCAAAGAAATATGTATAATAAATATTGAGCAAACTTGTAGCTCTTTCTTTTGCAATCATGGAGTTGAAGCATTGCACATTGAACCCTAGCCATTTGGTGAAGGTCACGTATGCCACAGCATATGATGAAGTGCAAACAAAATTTCAAGCAGGGAGAAGTTCACCACTGCTTTTACAACCACTCGCATCGTGTGAGAGCAGGCAGACTAATAAAGGTAGTTAGTTTTACAATTATAGTTTTCTGTGATATCCGGAACTTTACACAATGTCTAGTGAAGATAAATTAGTTATTCAATTACAATTCGCTACGTTTGATATCAAAATAAAGCAGTGATAAGTCTACAGTGTTTGACATATTGATTAGTCAATTGAATCTTACATAAATATTAAGAGGTATAAAATGATTTAAGCACGAACAACAATGCGAAGACAGGGTGGATGAGGAAGAGTACAGTATTCCTCATGTCTTGTATGGGAATTACAAGAGGTATGTGGACTAATTCTAATTCCAATTTATTGTGATTGATACACTTAACATTACAGATTTGGATTACTCCAGGAAAAGGCCTGCCAACCGGAGCACGAAACGGCAGAATTGACTCAGGAAAAGGCTAGCCAAACGGAGCGCCAAACGGAAAAGGTCTGCCAAACGGAATAAATGGTAGGAAAGCTATTTTCTAAATTTCATTAGTTGAACACTCGACCTGACTTATTTAAATATAATTTATCATGACTTAAACGATATATTGGAAATTTTCTGAAAAAGTTTACTCTCATATATATATCTTTTATTGACTCTTTTAGATGTCATATCATGACATATTAATCACTTAGGTAGAGCAGTTCTTCCCATTGTCGAGTTGAAGAACTGGTATCTTTATCCTGGCTAGAACCATAGACAATTCTAGCCAGCGCCAGCCTTTTATCGAGTTAGCAGCACTCTAGTAATTGCCGGTATAGGTCAGCAGTCATACTCTTGAAAACAAATTATTGGTGTTTTAATTTTAAAAAATAATATGTATAAATATTGAGCAAACTTGTAGCTCTTTCTTTTGCAATTATGGAGTTGAAGCGTTGCACGTTGAACCCTAGCCATTTGGTGAAGGGTTCACGTATGCCACAGCATATAATGAAGTGCAAACAAAATTTCAAGCAGGGAGAAGTTCGCCACTGATTTTACAACCACTCGCATTGTGTGAGAACAGGTGAACTAATAAAGGTAGTTAGTTTTACAATTATAGTTTTTTGTGATATCCGGAACTTTACACAATGTCTAGTGAAGATAAATTAGTTATTCAATTACAATTCGCTACGTTTGATATCAAAATAAAGCAGTGATAAGTCTACAGTATTTGACATATTGATTAGTTAATTGAATCTTACATAAGTATTAAGAGGTATAAAATGATTTAAGCACGAACAACAATGTGAAGACAGGGTGGATGAGGAAGAGTACAGTATTCCTCATGTCTTGTATGGTAATTACAAGAGGTATGTGGATGAATATGAATTTCGAGTAAAACTATTTGACATTGTATAGATGTAAACTTATGATTAATACTTTCTATGTAAAATTGTTTATCTGCGTACACTCGAGTTCGTTGTTATAATCTAACTGTACAAACACAGACATCAGATAATTATCGCGCATCTTATCATGTTTGAAATACTGTCTGTTAGATATGTGTTGATTTTAAGTGATTCAGTATCAATGCAACTTTATATTGACACCAATTCTGATTTATTGTGATTGATACACTTAACATTACAGATATGGATTACTCCAGGAAAAGGCCTGCTAAACGGAGCATGTAACAGCAGAATTGACTAAGGAAAAGGCCAGCCAAACGGAGCGCCAAACGGAAAAGGTCTGCCAAACGGAATAAATTTCATTAGTTGAACACTCGACCAGACTTATTTAAATATAATTTAACATGACTGAAACAGTATATTGGAAATTTTCTGAAAAAGTTTACTCTTGAAAACTAATTTTTGGTGTTTTAATTTTCAAATATTTGATTTCCCATCATTTTAATAGCAAACATTTAAATTTATTGATCATTAGATACAACACTTAACACTATGAAACATATATTTTTCCATTGGATAGATCAAGTTAAAGCTACATAATTTCAACAAATACATCGTGATGTCATTTAGGATGTAAAAATTCTTTTCAGTGTGTGTAATATGTTGGGGGAAAAAAGCAGACATGATCACGACATAGGAGGTTGGATGATGATAGCAGCTCTCTTGTACATTTTGAAGCATCATGTAACCACGTATTTATTTTGTAATATAGTTTTAACAAAAGATATTTTCCCTAAAATTTATATAAGTCGAATACTGTGGTATAAAAGTAAGAAACATTTGGATACCCTGTCATTCAGCATGGAGCAGTGTCTCCTCGTTAAGGCGCACTTTGTCAAGAAAGGGCAAATGCGCTACCACTTGATGAAATGTAAGGGACAACACCCACGCCGTTGGGAGATCGTACATTGCTTCTACAATCATAGCCATGCTATGATGCCAGAAGGGCTGATAGAGGTAAGTTAATTAATCATAATTGTTTTCTTCATCAAGATTGGTGACTTAGCTCCATTGCAGCTAAGTGTGATTATTGAATTTAACTACCCTGACACGAGTTCATATATTACATACTACTTTTGATTGATCTTAGCATTGGTTTAATTGTTTTTCATTCAATATCATTCGCATGATGGAAATACTCAAGTCATGATAATATCTTTGTTATGAGAATATGTATGTGATAAAATTGTTTTACAAATCAAATTGCCTCCTTGAATGTGATTATATTCACAGTGCATTCAGTGGTGAATCAATGCATTAATGCCGTTTCATTATTATTCTATTTAGCACGAGAAGCATTGTAAGGATGCGGTGCCAGATATGGATGAGGCCCAAACAAAAACTCATCTATATAATAGACACAAAAGGTAAGCTTTTAAGAACAGTAAATAAACTAATGATCTAGAAACTGAGCATAAAGATAGTTGATTAATGAAGTTCATTAAAGGTCTCAAAAGAGCTCTAAGCTTAACACTCTCCATAATATGTATGCATTATTTATAGTTTATTATATAAATGTTTTCTTTAAAAATGCATTCAACTTTAAAATATGCTTAACCATGTTTATCACACGATACGTTTTGCTTGATTACATATATCACTGTTATTACAAGCTCAATTTAGTGAAAGAGGTCGGAATAGGGATTAGTGAGGATAGTGATATGATAGGATGCGCTAGGATGGAGAGGGGGACAGCTGCATGTCAAACAGAGTTAGTGAGTAAGTAGCACTTTAGTTTTCATAAGTGATGCTTAATCAATCATATTGATTAAGAATGATTGTCATCCATATCATACTATAATAATATGACTGCCTTGGATGTTCTAGAGTCCATTCTTAGATTGATAACGTTTAAGATCTGAATCAACCATGCATCCATGCTCACTGAACTTTGCTGATAATTTATTTTTATATCAACTAATCGAGACTAAGGTAATACACAGCTGATTTTTATGTGTCTACATGATAGTGATGGATTTTGTTTTTCTCGTGTTTTTCAGTTTGGGGATACAAATATGAGTAGAATAGCGGAACAAACAAACTAAAAGGACAATGAATTTGCTTGTGCAATATGATCAATATATTTTAAAATCTAAATATTCTCTTATGTTATACAAGAGTAGTGGTTGATAGCGTTCAAGTTATAATGGTATAAAAGTGGTATAAGTGGTATAAAAGTAAGAAACATTCGGATACCCTGTCATTCAGCATGGAGCAGTGTCTCCTTGTTAAGGCGCACTTTGTCAAGAAAGGGCAAATGCGCTACCACTTGATGAAATGTAAGAGACAACACCCACGCCGTTGGGAGATCGTACACTGCTTCTACAATCATAGCCATGCTATGATGCCAGAAGAGCTGATAGAGGTAAGTTAATTAATCATAATTGTTTTCTATATCAAGATTGGTGACTTAGCTCCATTGCAGCTAAGTGTGATTATTGAATTTAACTACCATGACATGAGTTCATATATTACATATTACTTTTGATTGATCTTAGCATCGGTTTAAATGTTTTTCATTCAATATCATTCGCATGATGGAAATATTCAAGTCATGATAATATCTTTGTTTGAATTAATGCTGTTTTATTATTATTCTATTTAGCAGGAAAAGTATTGTAAGGAAGCGGTGCCAGATGTAGATGAGGCCAGTACAAAAACCCATCGGTACAATAGATACAAGAAGTAAGCTTTTAAGAAAAGTAAATAAACTAATGATCTAGAAACTGAGCATAATCCTAGTTAATTAATAAAGTCCATTAGAGGACTCAAAAGAGCTCTAACCTTAACACTCTTCATAATATGTATGCATTATTTATAGTTTTTATATAAATGTTTTCTTTAAAAATGCATTCAACTTTTAAATATGCTTAACCATGTATATTATAGGAATATCCTATGGTTTTGAAAAAATATCATTTATATCCATGAGTGGATGTTGATATCTTCATGAGTGAGCGCAGCGAATGAGTGAAGATATTTGTATCCATGAGTGGATACAATTGATTTTTTGAAAAACCATAGGATTGTCCATTTATCCAATGGGAAATCATCACCAGCGAAAAAAGTTGAAAAATATAATTTGAGAAAAAATTTGAAAAAATAATTGAAAAAATGTTGAAAATTTTTTTGGATGATTAAAAAATGTAAAAAGGATTTTTTTTTGGGAAAAAATTCAAAACCATCCAATATCACTTTTCAAACCATTGAGTATCACTTTTTAAGACATGATATTCGATATTTTAAAAGTAATATTAGATTGTTTGTGAATTTTTAGATAAAATATGATATCTTGATCCACATATCAAATATATCTTCATGTGATATTCGACCTATGTCCTTGCAACCATGGGATAAAACACGATACGTTTTGCTTGATTACATATATCACTGATATTACAGGCTCAATTTAGAGAAAGAAATTGGAACAGGAACTACTCAGGACAGCGTTTTGTTATGATGAGGTGGGCTGGAGAGGGGGACAGCTGCTTGTCAAACGGAGATAGTGAGTAAGTAGCACTTTAATTTTCATAAGTGATGCTTTATTAATAATATTGATTAAGAATGATTATCATCCACATCTTACTATAGTAATACGATTGCCTTGAATGTTCTAGAGTTCATTCTTAGAATGATAACGTTTTAAGATCTGAATCAACCATGCATACATGCTCACTGAACTTTGATGATAATCTATTTTTATATCAACTAATCGAGACTAAGGTAATACACAGCTAATTTTATGTGTCCACATGATAGTGATGGATTTTGTTTTTCTCGTGTTTTACAGTGTGGAGATACAAGTACAAATAAAAAAAACACAAAAAACAAACAAACTAAAAGGACAATGAATTTGCTTGTAAAATATTATCAATATATTTCAAAATCTAAATATTCTCTCATGTTATACAAGAGTAGTGGTTCTTTACGTTCACGTTATAATGGTATGTACTGTATAACATGTACATAGTATGTTTGGTAATGTATTCCTTATATTACATTTTAACAGATGAAATAGAACGATTAGCTCTTCAAATGTAAGATAAGTAATATTCTCAACAGTGATAATGCATAGATCTAAAAGTAATAATAATTTCAAGCACTAGTCTTATCCTGATCAACAGTGGAATAGTTCTAAAGTAATAATAATTTCGAGCACTAGTCTTCAATGTTTACATACCACTAGGTAGATGAATGATGTATTCTTCGAGTGTGTTAATCATTGTTTTCTTAGATATGACGTCCTGAATGGTGGAACTTTCAATCTTCAAAAAGGCCTCACAGAATTAACAAACGATGCTCTGAAGAACATAAAATTTGAAGCCTTCGCTCAAGTCGCCACGGCAGTTTGTGATTTTTTGAGATTAATTGGAGGGAGATCCCAAGTAGGATGAACACTTTGCTTTATTGAACTATGAAGAGACGATTTGGAAATGATATGCTTCACCCCTAACTAAGAATGATAAAATATTTCAATCAGTGGTGGGACAGTTGTGTTAAGTGGACAATTGTATTACCTTATCTTTATATATTATATGCTATATCACAATCGATGGTTTCAAGGGTTTTATTTAGCATCGAATTTCCCATCTCCAGACTCCTCCTCTTATCTGATGTCAGGCTATTCAACTAACAATCAGTTCCGCTTAACATTCAATCAAAATTAATCAACTGGGGGGAGTTTGATGTTTAATCAAGTATTTTATAATTTACCAAATCTCGTAGATTATTAACAGTCAAATCTTGTCCGAACGAATTTTTTATAAGCATCTCAGTTGTAAAACATATATCGTTTTCGAATCGTTATACCAGTCATGATTTATATGCCTCTGAAACAGCAAGTATACCCCTTTTATCATTTAAACGAGTATTATTTCAAGAGATGGAATCTCAAAGCTGATAACAATTAATAGGATTTATGAGGACGAATATTCAGTATTGTCCAAGACAAACGGTCTGCAATAAATCGTTTGAGAATCATGAAAATGGTGTAATGTTCAGTCTCTCGACAAATTAATTGTTATGTCTGCATTGTGCTGACATCTTTGAAAAAATATACACTCCACTTGCTGATCTGAGATTGCAAGCTGAGACTGGCGCCAGGGTGTCTGAGATTTGTCTTCAGAAGTTTTGCGGCGTAATTTCGAAGCTATGATTCACCGGAGAAGTTATGTAATTGGAGACTAGTGTCTGCTGGGAATGTTTTGGAATTGTTGACAAAATTCATCACCGTGGAAATTGATTCATTTAAGGTTCTGGTTGCAAAGTGATAACACAGTAACATGAATCTCATTATCGCGCACCTATGCATGATTTGCGTCTGCCAATGGCTTCCGGAAAAGCAAGTGATTATGGACTGTAACGATCAAGAACATTGCAGTACAGCACGTAACCAACAAACAGTTTGCATCATCTGCTGGATAAGAAAGAAATGCGGTAGGGCTACTCCATCCAGTGGATCCAGGATAATGATGGATGATATTTCAGTCATAGAGTTTTCAGCTGATGACTTTGGAAACTCTCCAGCCAACAATACAAGAAGTAAAACAACCGAGAGAAAACGTGATTGACTTCTTGATTAAACTGGAACATATTTTAATAATGAGAAGTTCACTGAATTTAGTTAAAGATATTCACTATGGCAGGAATCATCTTCAAAAACGTTCTTCTTCATCATGGTTATATATTCAGGATTGTCAGAGGGGAAGTAGAATGTCCTGCCATCAGATGTTCATGTTTCAATGTTGGACAGGGGGAATATTTGTCGATTGTTACCCCATTACTCGATGTAACATGGTTTAGCTCCTGGAGGGACAAATTGCGTTTGGGAATTGCGCAATCAACGTTTCTACGATCTCGGAGGATATATCGACAGAAAGTCAAACCCCTTCTACTGTCAACACTCCTGTTTCGGATTATACATCTGTTATTACGAAAGAATCGGTTTCGTTCACACTACAATCTGATTCAGATTCGACAATTCAGACAATTACAGACTCATTGGATGATAGTACAGTATCTGTTGTTAGTCTAAGCAAACAGATTTCCCGACTGAGAACGGATACAACGCCACGGCTGTGTCATCTGATTGCTCACCCCGTCATACTGAGAATTCCCTGTATATAGCTCTGATATCATGCATAGTCATTCTTCTCGTTATTACAATTGGACTTGTCATTTGTATCATTCGTTTCAAATTTAAACGTGTTACAAATCAAAGTGTTTCTGATGGTAGCGATATCGAGATGAGTGATTATCAGCATACAAACAGAGATTTGCAAGTCTAAGGCTCGATCATATTTCCATTAAAATGACAGCAAGTTACTGTTCAATGCAGTTGTAAAGTGACACTTACTCGGTATATTTGACAATTGATACTTTAAAGCACATAGCTCGAACAAAGACACAACAAAACATAGTTTTACTGTAGCTGAGGATTTAATACTTAATCAAGTTCATGATTAAACAAGTATATCAAACAAAGAGAGTGACATTTAGATGAACATATGATATTATTATATCCGGTATAAATTCCTGAAGTGTACTCTTTGTACTCATAATCGAAATATGTTCCAGTTTCATCACATACAGGATTTTGCAAATTATGTAAGTTGTTGACGGAACGTTTCCCGGAAAATCAACACATATCACAGCATAAAATCATAGACAATACATATTCTGTTACGGGGCACGGAGACAACATTTCCATAAGTAAAATGGGTAAACGTCAACCCAAGTCATTAACTTTGAGCATCAAGGGCTGGCTTGAACTTCTAAGTAAAGCTGAAATTGTTTTAGGGTCGTAAAGAACAATTTCAACAACGAGTCAGAAAGATACCTGTGCAAAACATTTATATAGATTCAATCAATACGCACGACTGGAAAAAGAACTATGACGAGTTCATTGACATTAGACTACGATTCCATTCGCAAACGATGCCAGCAAGAAAAATTTACTGGGATAGATGTGGAATCGTTCGAGTTAAAAACTCTCTCGGACAGCGTGTTGGCGAGACACTGTATAGCCTTTCTTGTGGGTGATGCAATAGAATTATTAGCCATGGCCAAGTAAGTACAGTAATTGATTATGATTATCATCATGATTATAGTTTATTAGTTGAGAACACCAAGAACTATTCGTTTTCCTTTTATAGCTCAAATTAATATTTCTGACAAAATTTGATTTTACTAGGTATAATCAGGATGCATTAATGCCTGACCAAATGGATGAATTTTCAAATGAAGCCTTGGACAGTGTGATGCTGGTAGATATCCGTCAAACTGTTAGTCTGGTATCCGAGTTTCTCTCTGTCCCATTGAGTGAACCGGAAGAACTTGATCAACTTTTACACGGCCTTATCGGCGACATTGGTGCATGGAAATGCTATATTATTCCCATTGATACAGAAGATAGAGTACTGAGTGAGCTCATTGGACAACATTGTTAACAATTTATCTGTACACGTTGGCTGAATAAAGTATTATCGCAGTATGAAAGAAGATAAGAGCTTGTTATGTTACCGTGACTAGAATATTTTGGAATAGGATATGGCTTGACAGGAAAATACTAATCAAATTAAGTAGTATACATTGATCATTCCGCTCCGTTAAAATCAAACAATTCATTTTTATCCTTAAGCTTGTCAAATTATTTTCTGTCAATATTTTTAGAACCCACCATTGTTACTTTTGCAAGATGTTCTCTAAGAGAACTTACATGCAGCAACACGTGTATAAAGTTCACAGCAAAACATCGGCTGTAGAGTGTCATGTGTTTGGGAAGAAAATCAAGCAAAAATATAACTTAGCCCGACATATGAAACAGCATGATAATTAAATATTTCACGAAGTATGATCATCTTAAACTCATCTATATAATAGACACAAAAGGTAAGCTTTTAAGAACAGTAAATAAACTAATGATCTAGAAACTGAGCATAAAGATAGTTGATTAATGAAGTTCATTAAAGGTCTCAAAAGAGCTCTAAGCTCTAACACTCTCCATAATATGTATGCATTATTTATAGTTTATTATATAAATGTTTTCTTTAAAAATGCATTCAACTTTAAAATATGCTTAACCATGTTTATTACACGATACGTTTTGCTTGATTACATATATCACTGTTATTACAAGCTCAATTTAGTGAAAGAGGTCGGAATAGGGATTAGTGAGGATAGTGATATGATAGGATGCGCTAGGATGGAGAGGGGGACAGCTGCATGTCAAACAGAGTTAGTGAGTAAGTAGCACTTTAGTTTTCATAAGTGATGCTTAATCAATCATATTGATTAAGAATGATTGTCATCCATATCATACTATAATAATACGACTGCCTTGGATGTTCTAGAGTCCATTCTTAGATTGATAACGTTTAAGATCTGAATCAACCATGCATCCATGCTCACTGAACTTTGCTGATAATTTATTT